ATTTTTATGACTGAAAGTTTCAATGGAAATACTTTTACACACACGAAGGATTTATCTTACAAATGCTTAATTTTGGAAAATATAGGATTTTCTAGGGATTTCTTCTATTCTCAAACAGTAATTGCAGCTCTTACATTACATGATTGTAAACACTTTTATATAAACAACGATACTAAATTCTTATGAACTCACCAACTTTATGCTGATACTCTTTTTCAAAATAACTTGTATCCTCAGGTCAAAGATAGACAGGTACTGGTGCAGCTTTTGAGAAGATGGAGCGTATATAAGATTCATCTTTTATTTTGTCTATACTTTTGGTGTCTAGTAACTGTGCAGAATACACTTGTAATTATAATCACCATATTAATGAAATGGTTGTTGTCGCTTGTTTTTACTATTATGCGATTGTTATGATACTGCACATGACGTCCTCCACCCCAGAACGTATTTCGCCATTCTCGGTTTTGGGGTGTGACAATCTACCTCCTGAATATCTTCATATTCACTCGGTAGCTGACTCCCATCATTGAGAGTTCCACAAAGCACGAAGCAAGCAGCATTCGGGCATCGAAGAATACATAGAACTCACTATGGGTGATAACTTCGCTTGCTCTGCTCATTCTCCAAAGTACCATCGAACTCTGCAACTCTACCCCTCGTGGGTTCTAACTATTCTCTCGATAAGCACCACAATACTCATCTATGCGTCTCTCCTAGATTACTCCTCTACTCAAATCCCCTAAAAGGATTCCAACTGAATACTCTCACTCATACTCAAAAGCGCATCACATATAACAGCAACTCCTAGGATAAGGCATCACAAATCAGGCCACTCTATTCCTAAGATATGAAATACCTAGCCAGTCTCTAGCATGCATAATATCTCATAAAATGTATCATAAATATCTCATAACACAAAAGTAAGGGTATTTTGGGAAATCACTGTTCGGGCTCTAGCTGATTGTACACACTGCTCTTTCTCACTTCCTCTTTGAACTCTTATTCACTTTTAGAAAATCATTTCTTTGAAAACTTTTCTTACTTCCTCAGTTTGAGTCCAGATTTACCCGAAGGTGCATCCGAATCCCTCAAACCAAGGCTCTGATACCAACTTGTAACACCGAAATTTTCAACACAATTTTTTCATTTTAAAATCGCTTATCTCTTTAACATTTTTCATAAAAATCCCATTTTTGTTTAAATTACAATACATGACTCTTCTGTTCAATTAATTAATAAACCAGGATCCTCAGAACAAACGCTTCCTTTGGTGTGTACAATCGAGTTGGTGCTGTCCCGTGATCCTGAGAAAACCTGAAACATTTAACACAAAACACTGTAAGCATGAAGCTTAGTGAGTTCCCCAAAATACCACTCTAACACATATTAGCCACTCAAGGCTATAACTCTTTTGACCCTCTGGTCAGTGTGTCTCAGTGGGACCTTCCAGTCGCAACTCTCTGTGGACCCTCTGGCCCTAACTCTATGGACCCAAAGGTCCTAACTCTAATAACTCTGAATCATGCATATCACATATCACAATAAATCTCAACACATAAATAGCATACAAATACACTGGCACATAACTCTAAACCTAACTCTGTGGACCCTCTGGTCCTAGCTCTGTGGACCTTCCGGTCCTAACTCTGATATACACACAGCATAAATCACATAGAAATAATGCAGTGCCACACATCGCATAGATAGCATACAATAACTTTGTCACCACTCAAGGTAAAGTATAGTGAGAAGACTCACCTGGAAAGCAGAAAGCAGATATCCCCACACATGAATCTCGAACTCGCCACCGCCTAACACATAAGGCAAATATCTCTAATTAACACTTGAAGTCTCAACCCTAATTAAACTGACGATTACTCTTTCCCTCTCTAATCAGACAATGGGTAAAAGACCATTTTACCCCTCCCTGGCCTCTATTACCTATGTCGACCAAACCCCAGAGTCAACTCAAGTCAATGGTCAGCTCTAACCAGACTCGGCGAGTACACAGGGGTGACTCGGCGAGTCCATGCGTGTCTCCTGACTCCTCCAAGGCCTCACTCGACTCGTCGAGTGAACCTTCCACTCGACGGTTTTTCCACTGGATTTGAATCGCGGGGCAACCCGACTTGACTCGTCGAGTCTAATTATGAACTTGACGAGTTGCTTACATGATCATACTCAAACGACCCTCTGAGGTCAGATCTGTTCCTCTAATCCATAGATCCGACCTTCCCAAGCTCAATAAACATGTAAAGGTTCAAACTTTACATTCATGCAACCCACATATAGCCATAAATGGAGAAATAACCCTTAAAATGATAACCTTAGCTCCAAACTCATGAAGGACTGCATAAAGCTGGGGAATAGGGACTCTCTGGACCTCTCAAGGTCCAAATCTGAAGATATAGACACAAGAGGGCATCACATACTCTAGATCTCTTACCAAAAGAAGAGAAGAAACCCTAGATTCATGAAATCTATCACCCAAACGAAGATGGACATGAAACCTTACCTCTCACAGCATCTTTGAATGAAATGATGGAAGATTTGAGACCAACAAGACATCCTAGCTCAAAATCCATCCTTCCCTTTGCTAAGACACACCAAAAGATGATGAATTATCCCTCCTCTTACACCACATGCTTTCTCTCTGCTCTCTCAGGTTTCTCAAGGTGTAATGGCCGCAAATGAAGGCCATAAGGACCTTTAAATAGGTCCCAAACCCGAGAAATTAGGGTTTCTCTGCCCAACACCTACTCGGCGAGTCCCTCCTCTGACTCGTCGAGTCCACTCATTAAATCCGCGTGAGAAGCCCGACTCGACTCGGCGAGTTGGATCCTCAACTCGTCGAGTCTCTCCTTTAATCACGAGATTAACCTACACCATAATAACCCTAAAAATCCGGATGTTACACAAAATTCATATACTAATACAATAAATTAACGGATCTATACACAAAAAATTATATATATTCACAACAATATTCTCAAATTAAAACTTACAATTATACTTCTATATATAGAGGCATTTCTATGTATTAAATCGTGAATTTAATATATTAAACGGTGAATAAAAACCATAGTTTAATACACAAAATTCACAGTTTAATACAATCAAAGACGGATCTAAATTTATTTTTAGTGTATTTATTATTAGTTTAAGTATCTTAGGTATGTACCTAACAAAATTTGTAGCGAAGGGAAAACTAGAAATATGAATCATAAATATATTATTATCAAATAAGTATCTTTTTTAATCGATAACAAATTTTTAAAAATGTCTAATATAATTATTTATTCTAAAATCAATTTGGGATATCCATATCTTATGTTTATAATTATGTATAATTCTAATTTTTTTAATATTAACATTAATGAAAAAAACAAATAAAGTAATAATTATAAAATACTTTTAACATTTCATCAAATATCTTGTGTGTACCACACAAATTAATACATTTCAATATTTTAATTCATAGTTTAATAAAGCAATATACTCTCATTAGCGGTATTTACAACTTAAAAACATACTTGATTTTGTTGAAACATATGATTAAATACCTTGTGTCACCACACTAATTCACAGTTTAACAAAGTATTTCTAGATTCTCATTCCCAATTTATTAAAACAATTTAGGGCTCTAATTTATAATATTCACAACTTAAAAACATATTAATTCACTCATTCATAGTTAAAATCAACATTAACAAAACTAAACAATAACTGGAAAACATCACAATTCACAACTTATATAAAAAGACATAAATTCAAATTATTTGAGAAAAACCTAAAATATAATAGCATACATTTTAAATTCAATTCACAACATAACAACCATAAAACATAAACTTTGAATATCATTTTTATGCAAATATTATAACAAATAATATAACAAACTTGTATTCACAACTTAGTAGAATTAAAAACTAAGATTAAGTAAAACAAAGAAAAAATACGATATTAAAACATTAAATTCACACATTAACAAAAGAAAAAAACGATCAAAAGAAAACTAACTTTTTAGCATGGAGATAAAAAACGGAGCAAGACTTTAAGAATAAAATAGCTTATATTATGACATGTTCTTAAAAAATCAAACTCAAAACATGTATAATTAATAGTTCAAAATTTTAAGATTTTAAAACAATTAAATCTATAATGATAGGCAAATCATAAAACTAAAAAAATAAGGAAAAAAAAGTAAATATCATGAGATGCATGTCATATAACAAAATTAATTAATAATACTTTAACATGTGCTAGACTAGGGCATAGATTGTAGTAAAAAAAAGCATATGAATCTATTTAGCTAGTGAATAGTAACACTACAGAAATAAAATGAACAACAAACGATTATCTCTATTACTTTCGAAAACATAGCAAAGTGGTTGAATATCTGTGATCATACTATTCCACTATAAGTATATACACTTCTTGGCTTTCTTTTTATCCACTCCACTCATAGCCAACCTAACTGTCTTCAAACAAAATGAGGTGAACAGTACGTGTTTGTCAAATGACTATTATTAGGAGTTGGGCGGATACAAGAGTAACAAAAGACACCTGATTGATAATGAAAATACCCAAATTGATGATATAATAGCATCTGTATCAACCTAATAGCATATTAATTCCCTGTAGCTTCACTTGTTTTCTTAAAAAAACAAGTATGTTATTATTAAGCCAAACGATTGAATAATTTCCAAATCAGTCGATGTTAAGATACACTCAAGTATGTTATTTCAAGTTCCAAATAACCATAATTGAGCAAATCAAAGCATTTCAACTACCTTAACTAGATAATAAAAAATAAAAAAAAAACTAAGATTCAGATAAGTAAAGAGTATCATGGAAAGAAGAGTTTGCTTGGTAAAGAGAGGAGACCAGTGGTAAAAAGAAAAATACCTTAATCGAGTTTTCTACAGTTCATTTGTTTTCTTAAAAAACAAAACCACCGGTAAGTCAAACATGAAACCCTCCCTCTCCTGCAACACCTAATTTTTGATATGACATAGCCGCTCGTCGGAATAGTGAATCTGGCCTCGCCTATCGTCCGTGGTGTTGTCGTCATCATTGGTGGTGCAGTTACCGACATAAATCACAGATATAGAGATGAAAGAGGAAGATGTAATCAATGGATCTGGTGCATGTGGTGTAGAAATAACAGATCTAGATGGCGATGTCGGTGCCGACTTGGATTCCGACGAGATAACAGATCGGATGGTGTAGTAACAAATCGATGCACCGAAGGTTGTTGGTGGACTAGATCTGGACGAGATTTAAACATATTTAAACAAGATCTGACAGGAGAGTAGGTGATCGTGAGGCTGGTTACCAATGGTGGTCGGAGGTGGCCGATGGTGGTGGTTCGTCGATGGTAGGAGTAGGCGACAGTTATCCGACGGTATGAGGCAGCGAATGTATGGGGGTGGTGGTTGGTGGCAACCGGTGGAAATAGTTATGTGTCTTCAAGTTTTGGTGGGAGACGATGAGAGAGTTTGAGAGGTTCTAAAACTATCAGATGTTTTTTGTTTTTAGAAAATATGAGTAAAATGAAAGTATTAGATCTAGGTTAGATAATAAGTTTTTAGTTGGTTCTTGGGTTCTTAATCTTTTTTGTTTTTCATTTGAATCTTTACCTACATAGTTAACCACAAATAAAAATCAATTATTTTTATAAAATATAAGAAAAAATTATAATTTATATAAAATATAAGAAAAAATTACTATAATTTATTGAGGTGGTGATTAGTACGTTATCAACACAAGTATTATATTAATTCCAAACTAAATAGGACATCTATATAATAATACCATATATTTATTTCTTTTTTTTATTTCATTATCATAAAAACTTAATGGGTTAATTGTTAGATTCATAACGATAATGTAAATTATTAACCTTGGTAATCACATCTTATTTATTTATTTTTAACTTTAAAAGTGAATAACCTATAAAAATACCCAAAATTTGACAAATATGATGACGATCTACAATGTAATCTTGTGAGTTACCCTATAAAATAACGTTTGTGTTGAAAGGCTTTGTGCGGTTATTAAATCCTTAACTCAGTCGCCGAGTTATCAAATGACATTTGGACTTGTAGTATCAGTCACTTCAACAAAAAGTTGCTAACTAAAAATGTTAGGGTTCAAGTCTTTACTGTGGAGGAAAAAGTCTTACTATAGAGGAAAGGTGTAGATTTAAGAGTAGGATAGTGGATGCATGTTTAAGCCATTCTATAAAAACACTTTATCGCAGTCAATTGAGTGAGGTGACACACACATCCATGATGAATATAGACTATAGAGTTTTTAGGGAACTTGTACTACTTAACAAGCCATGATATTCCACCAACGCCATTTTTTACAACATAGATGGACAGTTGGTTTCAAACTGTTACACATTGGTACACACTGACTGTAATTACATAACAAAGATGCTAAGATAGTTCACTTCTATTCATCTGCTGCGTGAGAGTGGCCGAGTCGCACATGTGGACATTCCCTTTCGGGTTCACCACTTGACCATAGAATTCCAAGATCCCCTCTCTTCTTTCCCAAGGACAAAAAGGTCCCTGCATCATAGAGATATATACTACTATATAAGGTAAGGTGTTGTTTCTTTTTAACTTAATCCGATAAGTCATATGTATTATATATGGGTGTTTCTCTTTTACTTGATACATAAATAACGACATAAGGGTGAACCCGAAACTTTTTTACAAATTTGCCATCATTTACCCAAAATATAACAGTCATTCATTTTCTCATATATTTTAAGCAATAAGCATCGTTCATTTATCCAGACATGATAAGATTCCAAATAAAGCCAAGTTGAAAGTTGAATGTTACCTAGAGTAAAAGGAACAATGTATAGCAATGCTGGTTGTCCATGACCATCAAATTATTAAAAGACCGTTCAACAATGATGTCGACGCAAATTAACTCTTGATTACCTTGAGATTAGGTACATGAACAATCTGAAAGAACTGTAATTATGAGCGCAATTCCCTGAGGGGATGAAAAGAAAAAACAAAATATCATTAATTTCTAAAATGATCAAAATTTGTTTACATAACATATATTGTTAAGTGGTTGACGTACGAGGATATCTTGTCCGATCCATGCAAACTTGTAGTCACGATACACTGCCCAAAGAACAGCAAAGACTATGCAGAAAGGCAAAACAGCCAAGGTCAGACATGAAACAGCTCCAAAGAATGCTACTTTGATGGAAGGTTGTGCAGCATGTTTGAACCACCTGACAATTTCAAAAAAATAATAAATAAATGTCTGGTTGCAAAACTGTTGACATTCCATAAACTTTCACACAGTCATAAGAATCATTAAATACAAGCTTTATATAGAGAAGAAATGTTGCACCTTGATAGCAAAGCAACTATGCACGTTTGCAATCCCTGCATATAAACAAAATAAGTCTTTAGTATTGATTTTGTTTTTTTAATTTAGTTAAATGTGTAAGATATGAAATACCTCAACCCCTCCTATGCAGAAGATGACCACTAAAAGTTCTATAAACCATGCGGACATTAACTTGTAAAGAAGAACCAAGAAGCAAGAAGCAACAATCACAAACAAGACTGCTGACTTTGTATTCACTTCCACAATACCACTTGTACCAACAAGTTTTGTATTTGAGAGCTCCTCTGAAAAATCCTACAAAGAACCAGACACATCATATATCAATGCATGCCACTTCAGCACCAAGGTGGGCAATCGAGCCTAATAAAAAAAGGGAAAGTTAGTTTTTTTTTAAACCTCTAGTAATTTATCATGTTCTATAGCTGCTTCATTGGCACTCCATGCAGACCAATAAGAGGCACACAAGATTGTACCAACTGCCATCAGCCATAGAAATACTTCGGCTATGTCAACCACTGGTCTTCGTGGTGAGTATAACTGCACAGAAACTAAAGTGTGGTTTAAAACCTTCACAAAAAAGGCACCATGGTGATGAAAATGAAATTATAATCCAAAAAATATACTTGATGAACGATTGGATAACAATCTCTCTAACTCCACACCAGCATCTTGTGGAAGCATGACTGTTGGGATGTGTATATCTAGATCAGTTTCATCAGACTCACAAACCATCTTGTACAGTTCTGCAGGGTTGCAGAAAAAAAAAACTAACATAAAGAAACTGTTTGCCTTTGTTGTGCAATGTAGACTAAAGAAATGTAATCATTTGGTGCTACCTCTTTGGTTATTTATAATAAGGACTGCTGAAGCACCAGCAGCTTGTGCAATGTTTGCCTTTGTTGTGAATTTACAGTGACCACGTGTCACCATGATGACATCACCAGTAAGCTACCAAAAGTTGAAGAGAAGTAGGTTACACTACTGTTATTCAATTTGTAATACATGATTGATGATACACTCTATTTGTCCCAAAATGAGTTTTTTTTTTTTAAAGTGGTCCCAAAATGAGTTACTTATAGCCAGGGTGGAAAAAGACCTTGTTCTTTGGTGGAGTACAACAATCATGAGGGACTGATTGAGTAAGGTTAGTGCGGTTTGCATTTTTCTCTTTGGATACAATTGTAGTTCCAAATCTAGCACCAACGCCAACAAACTCAGCACCTTCAACACCATCAACCCATGTTTGAACTTTTACCTAACAAAACCAACCAACATGAAACTTCAGTTTGATTTGCTTAAAATGCCAACCTATTGCATACAATCAAGCCACAATCTCACTTTAAATCCAAATATACTGTATACTTTAGCTATAACATAACTTAGAATTTTCTAGATATAACACATAAATACACAATGAAGCTATAGCATACCTCAAATCAGTATATATAAACATACATGCAGGCCATAAGCCTATAATCTCACTTCAAGTCTCCACAGTCCACATAAATATATAATGAAGCTATAATTCAATTTCAATCTGGAAATGTAACATGCAATCAAGCTATGAGCACAATTCACAGAAATCAGATGGATCGAACACCTCACTTGGCGAACCTATATCACATCCATGAAGACCACAAACAACTGAACCTGTTTACCCATAAAAATATAACTATTTGACATGCACTGCCACGAAACTAACAAAAAGATGAAGCGTGCCCAGTCATAAATCAAAGAAACATGAACCAGACTCCAAATTTAGTAAAATTAAAAGGGGGGTTTTACCAGCACAAAGTCATTCTCACAACCAGGCTTCTTCGGAGCAAATTTGTCATCATGAACAATGTCACCGGCAGCTACCGGAGTAGGGTTACTGAAGAAAACAATGATGGTTGATATAAACCAACAAAATCTCAAAAACCCCATGAAAAAAATAGGTGAAGCTCCAAAAAAAATCCTTGTTTTTTTCACTGCATCACACTCTCCGACAATAAATGGGATTCAGATGGATCTCTAATCTCATAGTCCCATCATTACTATGTGCTTTTGGGGTGTGTGTGTGTGTTTTGCGGAGCAAAATGCCAAAATCCAGAGTTGCGGATGGTTGAAGTATTGAAGATGATGTGATACGACACCGTTGGAGATCTCTTGTTTGGATCCTGCCGGATTAAAAGCGGAAGATCCGGGGCATGTTATACTGTCTTCTGTCTATTTGTCTAACAAACCCAAGGGTACATGGTGTTTGCACTTTCGTACCCTTAAGTTTGTAAAATTGCCAATATTGATGATATCTACACTCTAGATAGTCCAAACTTGAAATGTCTATATTAGTGTAAATTTGGTCCTTGTGGTTTGCAAAAACCTTTGGATGGGGTCCAAAAAGTTTTTGGCTTGCACCGAAGGTCCAAAATCAAAGTTTTTCATTGTTTTTGGTCCAAAAAAACTTGAAAAGTCGATTTTACCCTTTTTAATTTCTTTTTTCTATTTTCTTTATTGTTTTTGGTATTTAAATAATTAAAAAAAATAAAAAATAAAATCTTACCCAACACACATACTCTCTCTCTCTCTCTCTCTCTCTCTCTCTCTCTCTCTCTCTCTCTCTCTCTCTAACCTAACCTAGGTTTATTCTTATTCATCTTCCACAAATCCATCGACATACCCCTCCCTTTGATCATCATCTTGTTAATCGAACCCCACTACTGGTCCCATAAACACACAATGAAACTCCCTTCTCTCTTAACTGAAGAACATAAAAATTGACCAGATTAAAAAAAAACAATCAAGGAACTCTTCCTGTTTCTTTCATTCTTCTGTCCCGATTTTTGGCAGAAGCACCTCCGTCGGAGGTGTTTTCTTGTGCGTTCCCGGTGAGCAAGGGAGCTACAAACCCCCTTCGTTCTCCCTTCACCTTTTCATTATTCCTACCAAATCAAAAAGAAGATGAAGCAAGGAATTAACGGAGCAAAAAGGCCCTCGCATACCTCCTGTTGGACATCGAACAACCAAAGTCATTACCATTGCTGCTTGTCTCGCCCTATCGAAGACCTTCGTCCCTTCGCAGCCTCTTGGCCACACCGAACCCATCTTCTGGCCTCACCCCTCGCTTTCTTTCTCTTCAATCAAAGACCTCCCTCCTCTGACCCTCCTTCCTTCGCACCTCACAACCGGATGAGAACGATCGAAGCTTCGCTGCTTCTTCACATCTTCGTTCTTCGGTCTCGTCGACCCAGGAGACAATCTTTCTCACGACCGATCAACGAATAATCGCGCCCTACGAGCCATCATGCTTCCCTTTTATTCGTTCGTCTGCTTCGTTCGCAGCTTCGTATCCGTCTCTCTTTTGCCCGATCAGTCAAAGTGACGAGGGAAAAAGCCCTAAATCCTTTTCAACTTGATGAATTGTCAAAATAACCCCCTACTACAACATTCCCTTTTAATATAATTCCCAATGGAGACGAGATGGGAAGTTCTTCAGTTGAGAGAGAGAGAGAGAGAGAGAGTGCTGGGTAAGATTTTATTTTTTATTTTTTTTTAATTATTTAAATACCAAACTAAATAAAGAAAATAGAAAAAAGAAATAGAAAAGGGTAAAATCGACTTTTCAAGTTTTTTTGGACCAAAAACAATGAAAAACCTTGATTTTGGACATTCGGTGCAAGCCGGAAACTTTTTGGACCCTATCCAAAGGTTTTTGCAAACCACAAGGACCAAATTTGTAGTTTTGTCTTTTCACTATAAAAGTCCAATAAACATGTCACGTGATATCTGGGTCCTGGGGTAAGGCAGAGTCACAAATGAATCGTCGACATAAGTTGACGGTGTTATTGTTAAATTCGATGGTTTAACTTTTTGATATGGGTTCGAGGAGGATTCGATCTTGATTTGAGTTCTAATAACTCAATAATATTATTAAAATTATATACGATGAAACAATTTAGTTGAGGATTAATAGTATCTTTAAAGGGCATCATATGTGTAAGTTGGCAACCCAGTTATGTCATGTAACAGCTCAACTCTTGGCCCAAGTAATAGGGCTCATTTATCTTGTTATGTAATACACAAATACTTACTCGGCCAAGAGAGACATAATAAAATTATAGAGGGAAAAGTGAGGTCGAGGCTCTCTCTTCTCGAATGGATATAGGCAAGCTTGCTAAACCATGTAAATTATTGTTTTATTCTCTATTTACTTTCATTGTTCGGTTATTGTCACTGTTTCTATTTTGAGTCTAAGACCAAAAACGAGAATCTTATCAAATGCAAGATTAGTGGTTGTTTTTCTTTGTTTTCTGCATTGTTTCTGCTGGAGTAGCAATATGTATTGAGTTATCTTTTTTTTTCTGTCTATAAAACATAATTTGTCAGATGTTAAACAACGACAAAGTATTATTGATGGTCATTTTATGACATTTCGCTTGAGATTTAACATTTCACTTTGCTAACATAAATTGTTAATAAAAAAACACAAATTAAAATACAAATAATGCAAATCTTACTATATCAAGTATGAATATATTAAGAAAAAAAGATCAGCATCCATAATAATGTCTTTATCAAAGGACATCATAATTTATTTTCAATATATTAATAGTAAGACGGATACATATGGAATATACAAAAATCACAAAAGATTTTGATTGTTTTGAATAAGACATCAAGGTTATAAACTAGTTTTGCAGCAAACCCCTCTAACTATTAAAAGTTACACTTCCACTCGCCTTTGAATTCACTTTTAACTGATTATTTATTGTTTGTCTATTTAACTCTTTCTGATAAAATATAATTGAAATCCATCGATTTGAAAATAGATATATAGAAATCATTATCTTTATCTTGTTTCTTTGAAATGAAAAAGAAAATCCTCCATAATACATAAAGATCTTTTGCCACATGTCATTCTCATTTATTTTGTCCACATGTAATTTTGTGGTTATTTTAGATTAATTTTTATTCCATATGTCATTTTATGGTTTTTTCATTTTATTAAATTTCATATAATATTTAAAAATTAAAATGCAATAATAAATGCATATCAATTTCATAAATGAACTTTCCATTTAATTTCAAATTACTAAATTAAAGATTTATTAATTTTCTTTATTTATTTATCTAAATTATTTGTTTAAATTTAAAAGAAATAAAAATCCTCCATAATAAATAAAGATCTTTTGCCACATGTCACATTCTCATTTATTTTGTCCACATGTAATTTTGTGGTTATTTTAGATTAATTTTTATTCCATATGTCATTTTATGGTTTTTTCATTTTATTAAATTTCATATAATATTTAAATGCAATAATAAATGCATATCAATTTCATAAATGAACTTTCCATTTAATTTCAAATTACTAAATTAAAGATTTATTAATTTTCTTTATTTATTTATCTAAATTATTTGTTTAAATTTAAAAGAAATAAAAACACTTTAATTTTTATAATTCAATATTTTATCATTTTTCTTATAAATTCAACTTCTTAAATGTTTAGAATTTTGTATTTAGTTTTTCGTTTAAATAAACTCATGTAATACATGGGTCTCACACCTAGTGGTAAAATAAGATACGTTATGAAGGTTTATTGTTTGAAACCTGCCGGCTTAAAAATCAGGACGCTGCAACAAATTTTACGTAATGCCCCCAGACTACATGTCTTTTTGCATTATAGTACCTAAGGTTTCTAACAAAACATTTATTTTTGTGTTAAGAAAATCAAACCGAAAATCGTATAAGGGTAACTGTATAAACCGACTCGAACCCGAATAACCTGAAAACCGAATAAGGGTAATTGTATGAACCGAAAATCGAACCGATTAACCAATACGGGTTCGGTTCGGTTTGAATATTAATCAGTAAGGTTCGGATATTACCCAAATAACATGTACAAGATGATGAAGGACCTAATATAACCGGAAAAAAACCGAATAACCTAAATAATAGAATAACAATGTACTTTTATACATCAACATAAAACATTCAAATACTATCATAACACAACAACACATTGAAAAAATAATATTTAATATTAGATTAACATAATGAGAAATAACTTCTTAATTGAGTTTCTTGAGTTGGAGCTCAATTTTTCATGACTAAACAAAGTACGAATTCATGAATCCTTAAAGACAACAGGAAGGGACGATTTTTTAAAGTTTGAAACAAGAGGAAGGATCGACATAAGTGATTGGGTTTGGAAATAGATAAGAAGATTTGTCGATTTTGAAACAATGAGAACAAGCATACATTTGCTTTTCTATTATGAACGACAAGAACAAAAGTGTGAATCGTGATTTTGATTTCTATCGATCAGAGAAATGGAAAAATGAATGCTCATTCAGGTCGGGTATTTAGAACCGAATAAGTTTTTATTTAGGTAATCCAAACCGAATAACCCGAAAACCAAATAAGCATAATATAGATACCCGAATCAAATTTCTTATTCAGGTCTAATTCGGTTCGATTCGGGTTTCGATTTCGATTCGGGTTTTCAGGCCAAATTCTCATCTCTAATGCAAGCAACGATAAAATAAATAGACAATGCACAATCCCAACTTTTCTGATATTCATAAAATTCATCGTATTTTTTAAATACTACGTTTAACAAGGTTGTTGCCAATAGAGCATACGTATATATATTTTTTTGCTATAAATGAATTTTAAACTTTTTTAAAGTGAAAAAAAAAATCCTTTTTTTCTCAAGATAGCACTTATTAATATCCATAAACGTACTTGTACTTGATGTTTCCGTTTCCATATAAACTGTGACAGGGACATATTCAATATAGGACAAGAGTGAGTCTTAACCCACCCACACAAAATTAAGGTTACATACAATATAATAAAAAAAACTAAGATTGTTATATGGCTTATTTCATTCAAAACTTGAAATTAATAGAAGAGAATACATTATTGTCTATGTCGATTAGACTCAATTTTAGATTACTTTAATGATGCAAGACAACATTTTTTGCAACTTAAAATAAACAATTTAATTAAGATTGCATATATAGTTACATTTTGTTATAATTTGAAGAATTTTGTGATTCATTTATATCACCCTAAAAACAAATTATGGACTGTAAACTGACTACTGTTATAATTTTCATGAGAGCAAGATAATGCTTCCTCTAACCTCGAGATTCAATTATGAACTCTTTGGACCAGAACAAAATCTACACATGCATGCTGCTAAAATCAATAATCTCCGTCTCTTTCTAAACTTGAGAAACGAATATATCCTAAAGGGCCAAAAGGATACTATTCAAGCTAACAACTTACATATCCTACAA